AATGGTGCAGGGTCTCTTGCTTGGGCAGGGGGTTGGACTAGATGACCTATAAGGTGCCTTCCAACTCTGATTATCCGATTATCTGTCACTCTGAAAGGCCACTAAATGAACCATTGTAAGTTGAGGACTGTGTGTTATCTTCCTGGGATTGCAGAGCTCCCTGGTGAATCCAGGCATTCCTTACAGATTGATCCCTGCTCCAAAGCCCCTTTTCCTTTGCAATATTAGCGGCTTCTTTATTGATGGATTAGCCCTCGGGCCATTCTCAAAGCGCAGAGTTCCAGAAACAAATTATGACTAAAGTTTGATAAAAGCCATTTAAAATGGAATTGGGAATAAAACATGATTTAAAATGGAGATGGAATAAAATACGATTTAAAATGAAATGGGAATGCAAGAAGAGTCTAAAATCAAATGGGAATAGAATCCAATGATTTTAGATCGAGATAAAATGTGGTGAAATTATATTTCGGGGTCACCCCTGCAATCTAAACCAATCGGTCCCACACAAACAGATCTCTACCAAACCAGTCCCGTGTTATTTTCAGATTCTCCGTGCACACCAGGTCAGTTCTTTCGGGATGGGTCTCCTTCTCATTCCCTGCCCTCCCCCAACATCCCTTGGCCGGCATTGGGGTGCAGAGTGAACTCTGGCCCCTGAGTCTCGGCCACCCCCACTCTTTCCCAAGCCCTCCCCCCCCCGGGACATACCAAGGAACCCCAGCTGGGCATTGTCCACCATGAAGTCCACGCTGTAGACCTCCAGGGGCTTGGCGTCCTGCGGGTGAGAGAGAGAAGCAGGGGGGGTCAGCAGAGGAGGCCCAGGACGTGGGCTGGAAGTGGGGGGGTGGTGGTGGGGTGCCGTGCTCAGGGGTCCCACCCGGCTGACGAGCGAGAGGGTCTTGCTCTCCTCCTGGTAGCGCAGCAGCGAGATGCTCTTCATGACGTCAGCAGCCAGGATGAAGTTCTTGACGCTGATCATCTGGTGGATGTAGAGCTGGGTGTCGATGAAGGCCATGCCGGTCAGGTCGTTGTCCTTCAGGCTCCAGAGGAAAATCTGCGCCAGGGGACAAGCGGGCAGGCCGGTGGGCAGGCCAGCCTCGGCTCTCTGGGATTCGCCCCCCCCCAAGAAGAACCCCCCTCCCAGCCACCTGTCCCATCATCCTTGGGATGACCCAAAGGGGCATGGCACAAAGGCAACCCAGTCAGATAAGCAAGGAGAGTCCCTTTATTGTCTCCAACTTTGCCCCCAATGTCCAGGTTACCTTCGGCTGGAGAAAAAAACTCTCCCAGGAACAGCCTCTAAGTGGAGGAAATTAAGTCCAAAAACATAGTACACACAAACTGTAACTAAAAATCCACACAAACCACGTTGACGTAATTAACTGGACAGGGCAGGAGAAGGAATTGCAGACTGGAAAGGCCAGCACAACACACACACAATTGGGAAGACGCCAGGAACCCAGATAAGCCACGACGAGACCAGATAAATTCATGATTTGCTCCCAAACAACTTGCTGTGCAGAGCTTCCCTTTTTAAACACTGTGTCCCCAACTGCGGCTAATGAAGGGAATCAGGGCCCTTTCCTCCCCCATAAGCCACGCAACCCACCTTGCTCCCTTCTCCGTTCCCCCCTGCGTGCCCTAGGATGAAGAGGGGGTGGGCCTGGGTCTTCCTCCGAACTCTCTCTCCCTTGCTCTCCCTCTCCCCTGCTCTGCCCAGCCAGACTGTGCCCTTCCCCAGTTTCCTCCACAGCCACTGGAGCCACACTTCCGCTCCCTGTCAGCTGCTCGTCTTCCTCCTCAGATTCAGACTCGACAGGGGCAGGACAATCCTTGGCCACCAGAGTCAACATCTCGAGCAAGAGCCGGCTCTTCCCAACGGGCCCCAGCGGGATCTCCTTCGCCTCCCACATGGGCTCACCGACTATCCTCATTCATAATTACATTTATTGACTGCCCATTTTGCTACTCTGGGCGGTTTACGATACAGGGAGTCCCTGGCTTATGACCATTCATTTAGTGGCCATTTGAAGTTACAACGGCCCTGAAAAAAGGAGACTTGTGACCGTTTTTTCACACTTTGTGACCGTTGCGACATCCCCGAGTTCCCTGGATCAAAATTCAAGAGGCTCGGCAACTGGCATGGACTTATGACGGTTGCAGTATTCCAGGGGGTTGTGTGAGACCCCCTTTTGCAACTTTCGGATGAGCGAAGTCAATGGGGAAGCCGGATTCACTTAACGACCGTGTGTGACTCGCTTAACAACTGTGGTGATTCGCTTAACGTCTGTGGCAAGAAAGGTTGTAAAACTGGGCAAACCTCACTTAACAAGCGCCTGGCTTAGCAATGGAAATTTTGGGGCTCGATCGTGGCTGTTAAGTCAAGGGCTCTCTGTATGAAAAAGATTAAATTTGACAACGCCTGTACACAAGAGGAAGTGAATAAGAATAATAATAATCAAATTACTCAACCCCAATTAAAGGGTGAGGAAAGGGAGGGAGCAGGCCGGGATTCCCCATGAGATCCTCCTGCTTCTCTCCGCTCTACCTGACGCCCACCCCCCGGCATCAACCCCCCCAGGATCCCTAAGGGGCCCCCCTCCCCAATTCCCAAAGTCCCAGGGCTCCTTGGTGGGCTCAGAGCTCCGTGGTTTTCTTGCAGACGTTTCATAACCCAACTAGGTAACCTCATCACTGCCGGAAGGGACAAAGCCCCTTCTCTCCTAGCCCTGATGAGGATACTTGGTCGAGTAAGGAAATGTCTGCAATAAAACCAACGGGCTCATTGTTTCCTTTTCCGTCTCCTTCTTCTCAATTCCAACCACTGATAAAATGTATTCCCTACCTCATGATATTCTCTCTCTCCTTTTATCTTTAAGTTCTAACTTCAGTCTGTCCATTTCTGCACAAACTAGTATTTTCTTTACTGTCTCTCCTCCTAAGGGGAGGTCTCTACATAACGGGGATCTGTAGAACTGACCTCTGAGGTTAGGTAGGCAAACTCAATGGAGTAGAGGGGATAAAATGGCTGTATAAAATTAGCAACGTCTGAGGTTTTATGCTGTAAATATAAACGTACATCCTGGATAGAATAATAGTATAAAATTAGCAAGGCAATAGTATAAAATTAGCATTGTTTTATATTTTAGTGTGTATGGCAGGGACAATGCCAGGACGGTGACACTTTGTCCAATATTTTAATATGTAATCCAATAAAATTTTGTATAAATAAATAAATAAATAAATAAATAAAACCAACAAGCTCAGAGCACCAAGGACCCCACAGTCTGTCTTCTCCTCCTCCTCCCACACTTCCCTCCCTTCTAGCATTGATGGTGTTCCCTAGTTGGGTCATGAAATGTCTGCAAGGAAACCACCCAGCTCAGAGAACACCAAGGGGCTCACAGTCCTCCTCCTCCTCCTCTCCCTTCTAGCATTGATGGTGTTCCCTAGTTGAGTCATGAGATGTCTGCAAGAAAACCACCCAGCTCAGAGAACACCCAGGACACACACACACACACACACACACACACACACACACACCCCTGTTCTAACCCTGAGCTACAAATCTTCTCCTTTACTGCAACCAAAGGCCTAGCTGGGAAGCAGCAGCAGCAGCTGCCTGGCCTTTGGCCCTTTCTGGGTCCCCGAGCGACTCACCTTCTGGCCGATGGCCGACACCAGGTAGCCGTTGCAGTGGCAGAGGGCAGTGACCGGCCCCTTCTGCTCCTTCTCATACAGGACCTTGAACTTGTTCTTGGTGAGGGGCTGGCCCGGCTCAGGAACCACCTCGATGATGTCCATGATCAGGATCTGCCCAAAGAGGGTCAACGGGGGAGGAGGAAGCATCAGAGTCAGAACAGAACAGGAGCCGGAAGGGACCTCAGAGGTCTTCTAGTCTAGCCCCCTACTCAGGCGGCAGACCCTATCCCCTCTTCAAACTCCGTCATTCAGTGACCAAACTTCCAGAGCGTGTGGGACAAACACAGCTTGGGAATTGGAGCAGGGGGGCAGGGAAGAGCTTCAAAGAGCAGCCAGGGAGGGTGTGTGTGTGTGTGTGTTTTGTGTGTGTGTGTGTGTGTTTTGTGTGTGTATGTGTGTGTTGTCTCACCCGCCCCCTGCAGGTGACTTCTTCTCCCTGCATCAGGCAAGTCCCGACGGCGATGTAGCCCTTCAGGCCGGAGACCGTTTCCTCGCTCTTCAGAGAAACCGTCTTCATGCAGGTCACGTGTTCCCACTCCTCCAGGTCGATCCTGAAGAGCAGAGGATGGGATTTTTTTGGGGGGGGGAGGGGGGGAGAGGAAGGCCTTAGGACCACCACGGAGCCCAAAACGTCTGTTGCTAAACGAGCAATTCGCTCAGCCAGTTTCTCGCCACCGTCGCTAAGTGAATTGCCGCACTTAAGTTAGTAACCCCGTCGTTAAGTGAATCCAGCTCCCCCCCCATTTGACTCGGCTCGTCTGAAGGTCGCAAAAGGGGTTCACGTGCCCCCCCCCCCCCCCCCCGGGACACCATGACCGTCATAAACACGAGTCGGTTGCCAAGCCTCTAAATTTTGATCCCCTGGCTGTAATGGTGGTAAGTGTGGAAAAAAAACAGTCGTAACTTTTTTTCCGGGGCCGCCGTAACTTTGAATGGTCACTAAAACGAAGCTGTTGTCAGTCAAGGAGAACCGTTCAGCTGCCTTTCGGTTAGGGTTTCCTGCCTGCCCTCCTTGCACGAAGAGCCTCTGATCCCCACGACCCACAAAAAAGGAAGGCAGGAAGTGGGGGGGGGACACTGGACCAGGTGGGGCAAGACGGCCTGATCCTCCCTTCGGGGCTCTGCCAATGGAACGCCCCCCCCCCCCCCCCCCCCGGGGACCCCCCCCCCCCGCCCCCCCCCCCCCCCCCCCCAGGATCCCCAACCCCTCCCCCTCTTCTCACCTGGTGTTAGGGATGGTCTCCCAGCTGACAGGAGAGATCAGCTGAATAGAAAAGGCTTCCTGCAGGGGGTGCATGTAGCGGTCATCTGCGGAAGAGAAGGACGAGGGGTGTCTGGCCTTTGCCCCCCCCCCCCCCCCCCCCCCACTTCAAGAGGGAGGAGGCAGACTTGGTACCAATAAAGGGGGCGAATCTGTGGCCGGGGTTGAAAGGGCGGGGGGGGGGGTCCTTGGTGCTCTCTGAGCTTGGGAGGTTTTTCCACAGACATCTCATTACCCTACTAGGGAACATCATCAGTGCTAGAAGGCAGTGGGGTTTGTGGAGAGGAGGAGGAGGAGGAGGAGGAGGAGGAGGAGGAGGAGG